CTGTCCGTGGCCTACAAATGTAACAAACCAGAAGCAAGCCGTGCGCCTAACCTGCTGCAGTGAACGATCCTGCCCAACCGCCACCGCCGCCATGACGTGGGCAGTCATGACCAACGCACCGAACACCAACACGGCCACAAGACGTGACAGCAATATCTCCCGCACGCCTCTGCACGTATTGTACGGCATACTCGCATCTCGCACCACCGTATCCAACCGCACGCACCACCGTATCCATTTTTGTGGCTTTCTGACTTTGCTCGCCGGTGGTGTTATTATGCTATGCAACCTATGCACACGACGGTGTGCATAGCTGGTGTGCAACCTACGCACACTTACACGGACACACACACTTGCTATGCGGCCCTTCTGGATCCGAGTCGTACCGAGTCAGTAACCCGGTAAGGCTGGGGTCCACACCTTCCAGGTCTGCTGTGTGCTTGCTCTATAGCCTATGCTTGCTGGAGACGAAGGAACCGAGTGCGACGCGGACGGCGGTGTGCCTGCAAGCTCGGAATCTGTTTGACGATGCTGCTGTCCGATTCCCCGCTCGGGCCCTTCCTCTCCACCAGCCATACCCTATCCAGCATGCCATTTTCGCCACTGCATGGCGTTAAATGCCAGCGTTGCACGGCTCTCTAGCCGTCCAACGACACGCCCGCACGGCTGGGTGCATCCCTTGCACTTGTGGGTTCGACTCCCACGCGGCTGTACTACAAGTATACACACGGACCCTCGTACTCGTGCCGCCCAGCCGGGGGACTACGGCCCCCTCGCGGGCGACCAAGCCCGCGTCTAGTGTCATTGGTGGCGATGAGGGACCGCCGCTGGATATGGATGTGGGGCTGTAGTACTAAATTAGCTTGCACCTCCGTTAAGGTATAGCTGTCCGCTGGTTGTGGCTCACCAATTTGTTCCAGCCATACCAAGCCCAGAGCTCGAAGGCTGGCAAAGTGTGGACCATTAATATCAAGGGTACAACGACCACTCAAAGCCCTTGCTGTGCCCCCATGCCCCTCAACCATGGTTACATCAGCCACGGACCGTCGTCGTCTGGCTGGTGTGGATGGTGCGGGATTGGGAGCGACCGCTGTGAAGGTACGGATCACCACTTGGCTCACAGGAATGCCCAGAGCATCTGCCACCCGTTGCTTGAACTCGGCCACCGCTGCAGCAACAGCTGCCTACGTCAAGTGGATCGATCGCACCATGCAGTCAGGTGAGTGTCAGGTGAGTGTACATCTGTAAAATGGAGAAATGTCTATAGGCCATCTAGACTACCTATCATCGTCGTAGTCCCGACGTTAGACGGACGACGTTTAGTCGTTCCGTCGTCGGGACGGAGACCTTAGGCTGCGGGGGGCGTCCGTCTGTCTGTCTGTCTGTAGTCGTAGTCCCGACGTTAGACGGACGACGTTTAGTCGTTCCGTCGTCGGGACGGAGACCTTACCCCAACTTTCTGTCTGTCCGTCCGTCCGTCCGTCCGGGTGGCCGCTTGCTGTTTTCGCGTTTTTCGGTGTGTCGTCCGCGGTTTCGGAGCCGCGCCTTTTAGGCTAGCTCCGTCGCCGCGTGGGAGCCGCGGTCGCCGGTTCGCGCCCCGCCGTCGCCGCTTTTTTCGTCTTCTTCCTTCGTTCGGTTCGGCGCCCCGCGCCGCACCGCACCACACCTGCCCCCGCGGAAGGCGCCCCGGAGCATGGCCGTGCGCCGCTTCGTCGGGCACGCTAGCTCCGATGTCTAGTGGGAGCCGCGGTCGCCGGTTCGACCCCGGCGCCGGCGCGTCGATGTGTCCTTTTTTTTACGTTTACGTTGCGGCTCGCTGGCTTCCTCGCCCGGCGCCCGCACGTTTTTTTCTTCTATTTTTCGTTCGGGACCGCTCCGCACCGTCTAGTCTGCACCGCGCCGCACCGCGCCCACACCGCACACACACCGCACCGCACCGCACCCGTTACATGTTCGCTGCGGCGACCTCGTGCGTATACATCCTTTTATTACCGCGAAATCTCAGCTATCCGCGTCTTTACCGGCTTCCGTTTCTGCTTCGGTTTCACTGGACCCGGCCGCAATCACGCGAATTGGCAGCAATCCGCATCATCACCTAAGCACGTCTGTCTTTGCTGTATAACTCTACTCCTGTTTCGGAGTCGTTAAAGGTCACCGCAATCGCGCGAGTTGGCGACGTTCTGCGTCCGACGTTGAGCTTCGGTTTCGCTAGACGCGGCCACAATCACGCGAATTGGCACCAATCCGCGTTATCGCCTGACCACGCCTGTCTTCGCTGTATAACTCTACTCCTGTTTCGGAGTCGTTCAAGGCCACCGCAATCGCGCGAGCTGGCAGCTGGACCAGGCTCGCAGCCGCGGCGCGTGCGCGTCCAATGTCCGCGTCTGCCGATCCTCGGACATCTGTCATCTATACGACACGCTGCCGCGGTTGTATAATTGTTAGCGCGCCGATTTCTCCCCACTTATCCTGCACTTACCTCTTTGCAAGCCTGCTTACTCCAAGTGCCTCCACCGCTTTCAGACATACCTGTTGATTATCAGTCGCTCGCAGCCGGATGGATTCGCCGGACCCCAAGCGGCAACGCCTAGAGCCTACATCGTCCTACAATCTGCGATGTCGCACCCTGGTGACCAGCAGGTCGGTTTGCGTTGCTCTAGTGCGTAAATACGCTGTTCGCATCCTTTGCGTTGCATTGTTCCGTGTTATCCGTTGCTGCGTCCCGTGTTTTGCGTTATGCATTATGCAAACCTTATCCGATCCCATCTCCTGACTTTCTACACCTTCGACCAACTCCCGCAGTAGTATCGACCCACCGGACGCCAAGCGTCAGAGGCTGGACACGGCTGCGTCCCAGAGCAGCACGTCGACGGTCGGCCCTCCCGCCGTCGCCACGTAAGCGAGCTGCTACATGCAAAGAGCGTGTTCACACCAGTAAGGTACTTACGCTCCGCCTCTCATCGTGCGAAATAGACGCATCTATCAGCTCCGGCGCGCATATTTGGCCGCTGCCTGTTAATCACATATGTCTTCCGTCACGTTCATCGCCGCTCGCGTGCACCTTGAATATCGTGTAACGCTCCCCATTTGACGCCCCTTTGCAACACGTAGGGATTCAAGGAGCGTCACGTTTCATGTGACGTTTACGGCCGGCCCCACAGAAACGAATGAGGACCGCCTCTTTGCCGGCGCCCAGAGCCGCTACGGCAGCTTCATCGCTGGCGTGAATACCGCCGGCCAGGGGATTGACGATGTCATCCTCGGCAGGCTGGAGAGCAGCCACGCGTTCGGCCACCGCGTGACGTTCGCCAACGTGGATGCAGCTTCCCTGCCGCCTTTCATAACTTCTCGTTTCGCTGGGGTGACGGTGGGGCAGTTTAAAGTCTCCTCAGCGACGCGGATTTCCGTGGAGCCCTCCTCCGCTGTCCCAATGCTCTACAGCGCCAGGCTTCGGTTCCCCGTTTACGATGTCGGCAGCGACAGGGCTCGCCCCGAAGACAAGCACGCGTCGGATGGCAGCGCCCTCCTGCTCATCCCACACGGCGGGATGTTCCGGGGCGGGCCGTTCCGCAAGTTTAAGGCGTGGGTCGCGTGCGGCAACGGTGACAGTCCCGACGCCGGACGCGTGGAGCTCGCCATCAGGGAATCCGCTCCCGACGACTTCGTCGCTCAGCTACAAGCAGCGGCCGATAGCAGCACGCCCCTTTACGTGTATGGTGCCAAGATCAGCCCCTCCAATAGCAAAGCTTATATGAATAGCGTCTTCCTCAGCGGCTCGCTTGTAGCAGCAGCGAGTGCCCCCGGCAAACGCCCTCCCAAACGAGTGCACACCTTCCAGGCGGCTGTTCAGCGAACTACCGCGGCCACCGTGCCCGCCGACACAACTGATATGGTATTGGCTTGGGAGCAGCGTAGCCGCAGTGCCCTTGTTTTACCGTCGGATGGTCCACACACCTCGGCCACCCTGTCACCCAACCCCACTTCTGTCACTGTAGTCGGCTCACTACCGGTCCTCCCGCTCGTCCTCACAATCGGCAGCCGCAGTTATCCGGTGTGCACCGACAGCATCGCCGTCATGCAACAGTTGCCGAACTACGACGAGTTCTTCGGCAGCGCCAGCTTCGCAGACGATAATGATCGTATGGCGTACGCTGCTTACGACTCGTTCACCGTCACCGGTACCATCACCACCAAGACAGAAGGTCGAACAACGTTCATCACGGCTCTGCAGGAATGACTCCTTCTTGCGTGTTCATCCACTTGCGCTGCCGTCCGCTGCACGTCGTCCAACTTTGCTATGGCTTGCACCTGTCCCCTCCCTTCACTTCCATCTAGCCGCCCCTGGATGGCGTTAAATGCCAGCGTTGAGCGGCTGTCTAGCCGCGCAACGACACGCTTGCAGGGCTGGGTGCATTCCGTGCACTTGTGGGTTCGACTCCCACACAAGTTGGCGGCGTCCCTCGCATCTACACTGGTGAGTGTATGAACGGTATGACCGGTTTCGCTGGTATAAGTTAGGGTGTTGACGCACGAATGCTGTACCGGTTTGACATTCGTGCGTGTCTCATTCGTATCCACCTCTTGCCGCTTCCCCGCTCTCCCTGAAGCATGCTCTGCTGTGCGTGTCCCACTCGCGTGTATGATGGTTGGACATAACGAATTGCCCCGATTACCGGGCTTGTCTTCACCCGACCTTTGCGCTGTCGTGCAGGTTTGCATGTGTTGAAGCTGCTGCTCCGGCAAGCCTTCGTGCTGTTCTCTTCGGTGTCCTCCGTTAGGCGCGGTAAGTGTGCATTATGACGCAACGCACATATGTGCGTGTCGGCACGT